GAGGAGCCCCATGTACAACAGGTGGGCGGGGTAATCTTGATTCACCGCCAAGTGCAGAAGCTTGCTGGGGCTCACGGAGTCAAAGAACTTCTCGAGGTCCCAGTGGAGAGCACAGGAGTGGAACCCACAGGTACGGGCCACTTCATGGGCCAACTCACGAAAAAAGGGCAGCCTTCAAGGCCGACGAGCCCTTGACCGCAGAGTCCCAGAAGTCAATGTGGGCCTTGCTCCAATCGTCGATGTCAAAGCCTCTGGTCTTGCAAAAGATCCTGTAGATGCTGGGGCACTTCACGATTGCCCGCTCATCGCATATAGACTTCGGCAGCATCGCCATGAGACAGACATAGCACTGAGGGGGAAAGCACGCATTCTCCTCCACGGACCGCAAGATGCCAGTGGACACTTCGAGAGAATCCACTGGAGCGTCCAAAAGAGCACGAGGCGACCACATATCAACACCGAGAGCGGTCTTCGCCCTGAAGCAAGTACACGCACGAACAACATCAGAAACTTCGAGCAAGGGGGTATCTTCCAGAGCGACTAAGGCTTGTGACCTAAGTTCGCTCATGCCCGCATTCAAACAAGACAGCTGCTGGGCGGAAGGAGTCCACCAAGACGACCACTTATCTTCACGATATCTCATCATATCCTTTGGGGTATTCACGATGCCTCCAGGAGTCTCCAAGTATTCAACCCAAACCTTTTCTTCAGCTTTCAGGAAACGATGAACAGGACTAGCTCCCCGAGGTAACGACGACGTCAACCAGGTTTTCATGCTACTCCTAGTCTTGGCATGAGCTAGGGACCATGATTTAGCACAAACATCACCTGCAGCGTCGACGAGGTTCCGCAACGTAACTTCCGATCGTGGGGGGTTCTCAAGCATCTCCTTCCAACTCTCAGCGTCTTCCGGGCTGACGAGGGGCTCGATGTGAGCAAAGACGTCGGCCGCCAAGGCAGAGAGAACAGTGCGATGCTGGCGAGCGGCATCAGAGAAAGGTGACTTGCATGTGAGCCGCCATAACTCATACAGTCGGCTGGAAACGAGAGACCAAAAGGACAAGTCAGGATTCCGAAAACTTTGCGCCTGCACACTGCGAGTCATCAGAGAACAGTCCTTTCGCTTCAGCATGGAACCACGACCAAGATATCTGTGCGGGTCAGGAACAAGAGCGCACGCGCGTGAAAGAGCTCGCAACTCCATAGCACGAGACCAAATATGATACTGCATCCCAAGACTCCTAGACAAGAACTCCTTCGAATGATCAGACATAGCCTCATAAAGGTCCTCAGGCATGACCAAGGGGGCCTCCAGGATGCCTCTGCCAGGGTCCCCAAGGCTTTGAGCCGCCGACATATAGGTGAGCCAGTGATTGCCAGGGCCCAGGGCCTCAGGAACCTCCAGGGGCTTCACGCGAATGCACTGGGGCTCCACCGTGGCCTCGAGGTCCAAGATCGCGTCCAAGCACGCGTGCGTCTTGAATGGGGACAGGAGGTCGGCAGACACTTTGAGGTAAGGGAACAACTGGTGAGAGCACGCGACGTAATCAATCATCGTTTCCCCAACCGAACAGGTAAACTCAACGTTGCCAGGGGCCAGGGTTCGAGCGGACATCAGTTCCAAGACTCCAGCATCCTCCAGGAAATCAACCGACATGTTAAAATCGCCCATCAGGAACCATGGGATAGACAGACCCCGAACGAATTCAGCCACCGCACGCAGAAGAGGAGGAGGAAGAGGAGGACGAGGAGGAAGTGGAAGAGGAGGAAGAGGAGGAGGAGGAGGAGGAAGAGGAGAAGGAGGAGGAGGAACACCTGTGTAGCCCCGAGGTACATCAACGATGCTGCAAGACACCCCCCGTTCTAAACCCACCCTTCACACAAGTCTTCACGGTTCACTGCGTGAAGAACCCCCTTGAGAAAAAAAAAAAAAAAAAAAAAAAAAAAAAAAAAAAAAAAAAAAAAAAAAAAAAAAAAAAAAAAAAAAAAAAAAAAAAAAAAAAAACGCCCGTGGGCCCGCAGATCAGGCGGGAGTTCTGTCTTTGAACAAAGCTGCCCTCCCTCCCTCGAGGCGCGAGACTTGCGCCACGGTGGGGTCATGGAGCCCAAATGAGTGCCCAGCGGCCGTTCCGCTCCGAACACGAACCGCCCTCCGCCCGTGCAGTTGCCACAAACTTTTTAGACTTCTGGCCATCGTCATGCTCTTCCTCCTCCTCCTCCTCCTCCTCCTCCTCCTCCTCCCCCTCTTCTTCCCCCTCCTCCTCCTCCTCCTCCTCCTCCTCCTCCACCTCCTCCTCCGCCTCTTCCTGTTCCTCTTCCTCCTCCTCCTCCTAGGCGGCTCCGCGGGGGGGGGGGGGGGGGGGGGGGCGCAGCCGTTTCGCCCGCGGGGCGGGCGGGGCGCGGCGGACCCATTGCGGCAGCCCCCAGCGCCGCGGGCGCGAAACTGGGCCCTCTCCGCCTGGCGGGAGCAGCCGAGGGCCAGCAGGACGGAAGCGCGGAAACGCAGCCCGTCGCCCGCCTGGCACAGGCGCCAGCGCCGACTGCGCGCAACCGCGCGCCAGGTGCTGCAGGCGGTGAGATTCAGGACCGTGTTCGAGGAGCACCACGGCAGCGCTGCTCCACATATGGGGCGAGGAGGTAGTTCCCAAGGAGGACAAACCAGGTGAGCAGCAGCACCTGGGAGACACAGCGGCAGCATCAGCAGCACTACCAGCAACACCGCCACAATCTGAAGTACGTCACATGCAAGAGCTGCAAAGAGTGGTGGTGGAAGGACCGCCCCCAAGCCATGCAGCACTGGTGCACCTGCGGGAAGATGCTGCCAGGTTCGGGCAAGGAGCACCAGGGCGACAGCCAAGGTGGCCAGGGAGGCAAAGGCGCGGCCAGGGGCAGCCAGACGACGGCCGAGCTAGCCCAGGCGCGCCACGTGGTCACCAGCACGCTCGGCGGCATGCAGCTGGAGAGCGGCGAGGCGATCCAGCGCCAGCTGGTAGGGGCAGCCAACGCCCTCGGGCAAACAGCAGCCGCCGCGCCGCCACCACCGCATTCGAAGGCAGTCAGGCTGGCGGTGGCGGCGCGCATGCTCGAGACGGCAAACCGCCAGTGCGCGACGGCCTACAAGTACAAGCAGGTGGTAGAAGAGGCGGCACAGCAGGCCAGGGAGACGCTATCGCAGAAGGCCGAGGCAGTGCTGAACACAGAGTCAGAGATCGAGAAGATCCGCATGGAAGGCAAGGAGACAGCGACGCCAGGGCGAGGCAGAGTGGAGCAACTCATCTCGGGCGAGACCGACAGCCTGTAGGAGGGCCAGCTGCTCGCAGACATCGCCAAGGAGTTCGACATGCAAGGAGAGGACGTGGACGAGATGGCCAAGCGAGCCGCGGAAGCGGCGAAGAAGGCGGTCGCGGCGCAGCTGCATGCAAAGACCAAGGCGCAAGAGCAGCGGCGCGCCATCACACAGGCTCGGAAGAAGAGGAAGGCAGATAGAGGGGGCGCAGTTGACGCGGCAGCAGCGGCAGCAGAGCAGCCTGCAGCGCAGCCGAAGCCAGCGCCGGCAGGGGGAGCGGCGCCAGAGCCAGAGGCACCACCGAACGACGAGGCGGAGCAGTTCCTGCAGGAGCTACGCGAGGCCCAGGGCGGCGGCGCAGGGGCCGCCCAGGCCGCGCCATGACGCCAGGCGCAGGGGTCGGGCCGTAGAAGAGGCGGCGGCGACGCGACCCCGAAACACACCATCCTCAGCGCCAACCTCACTACCTGGGGGCCCACAGCCAGGCTGCGGCTAGCAAGACAGCAGGATGAGGAGGGCTACGACGCGCGCGCGTTCCAGGAGACGCACATCGCGGGCGAGGCCATGAAAACAGAGGAGGCAGCTCTCGTGAAACTAGGATCAAGGCCAGCTCCGCGGCAGCGCGAGGCAGCGAACGCACGGCGCAGGGGACTAGCGGAGGCGCAGCGGTGATCATGCGGGGGCGCCTCAGGGCTTCCAGCTACCGTGCGCGAGCGCCATCGCTGCCAGGCACCGCTACGAAGGCCACAACAACGGGGGGGCACCGCAGGAGAGACGTGGACGTGTGCGACTGGGCCCCAGTCGCCTGGCACCTGAAGGGCACGTCGATCACCGTGATCAGCCTCTTCTTGGACACGGGCCTGACCCTACAGGACGGCATCAACAACAGGAAGCTGGCGAGGCTGGCGACGTTCCTCCAGAGCTTGCAGGGCGCGTGGATCGTCTGTGGCGACTTCGGCTTGAAGCCACAAGAGTTCTGGGCGTCAGGCTGGCCAGGAGCGATGGGCGCAGCCAGTCTCGTCGCCTTGCCAGCTGGCGCCGGCGCCTGCCGCCTCGGCGACAGCGCCACTGCCATCGACTTCGCGATGGTCAACAAGGCTTGGGCGGAACTCGCTGCGGGCATCGAGGCGCTCTACGACGCGCCGTGGAAGCCGCGCGCCGGGCCTGGGATCGCGGTCCACGGAGAGGCGCAGGCGCGACCCAGGCGAGGAAGCGCGCCATGCCGGCGGGCTTCCCACGCGCGCGCGCACCGATGCCGAAGAAGCAGCCGACACCAGGCAGCAATCCATCCAAGAAGAGGTTGCAGCAGGAGGCAAAAGCGCAGGCAGAAGGAGCAGCCCGATGGCCACGCGCACAGGAGGACGCACCACCAGGAGGCACGTCGTCGCCGAGCTGCTGGGCGCAAGGGCCCAGCGCAGCGAGGGGCAACGCCATCGACCTGGAGGACAGGGGGCGCGTCCAGGGCAGAGGACAAGGCTGCAAGCTTGCAGGGGCGTGTAAGCGAGAGCGAGGAGATGAGAGAACGAGGTGCAAGGATATGAGATCAGATTGGCGGGCCAGAGTCGAGACTGCGCCCGCCCTGACAGCGAAGCTAAGGTGGGGAGACAGAGGCGGGCAACAGCTGCGGGGGATGGCCAGAGCAGCGCGCGCGGTTTCCTGCGCCATGCCGCATCTGAGGGGAGAGATGGCCCCCGCCGCGGAGCCCCACCGCCAGGCGCAGCGGAGCCGACTCAGGAACCTCGAGGAGGACGACGTCGACATCACCAAGGGCACGGGCAGGCAGGCCTTGGAGGAGAAGCAGGCAGCACCACAGCGCGAATACAGGGGAAGCACGAGAAGCATCTGCCAACGTCTGGCAGACACCGAGACGAAGCCTGGGGCGCATTATTTGATCACGAAGCCGCCGGCGAGGCGCGAGGTGGAGATCAAGGGGGAGGCCCGCGCCGCAGACCGCCCGAAAGAGAAATATATCGATACCATGAAAGCAGCGACTTTCAGCGAGATCTGGAGCTGCGGCGAGATCCCGCGCGAGAAGCACACGGGCACCCTGCAGGAATTGCGACAGCAGGCGCTCGACACAGAGTGCCCCCACTGGAGCGTCGAGGACCCCGACGAGACGCTCAAAGGCGAGCCAGACCGCGGCCGAGGTGTCGACGTGCTGAACCGCGCGGACATCAGGAGGGTACCGTGCGAGGGCAGGCAGGCGACCGTGGACCAGTTCAACGCGTGCGAACAGCAGTTGATGCGGCAGTGGCAGATCCTGCGCTCGCTGGCGATGGTGAAGCCCATGCCAGCCAAAGGCGGCATGGCGCTGGCATTGCTTCCGCAGCTGGTCCGCGCGTGGGAGCCGCTCCACGGGCCCGCTGCCAGCGCGCGGGCCAAGGACCGCGAGCTGTGCCGGGGCGCCGCCGTCGCGAGCATCAGCTTCCCGAGTGGGGCCATGCGGGGGGCCATTGCGGACGAGTGCTGCGACGAGAGGAGGCCGAATGAGCTCTACGAGAAGACCCAAGGCCTAGCGGATAGAGCCTTGCAAGGGGCAGAGGCAGACCCAGTCCTCTGGCTGCGAGGGCTGGCGCCAGGGGCTTGGGCCACGCCGCCAGCCTGCAGCGCTGGGGGCGGCGAAGAGGAGACGCTTGGAGCAACGCGAGATTGGCGGCGGAGACGGCTCAGGCGGCGAGCATAGCAGCGGCGACGGATGCTGGAGATGTGGCTTTGAGCGCGGGCAACGCGAATTCCCGCCAGGTAGCAGGCAGACCAACGGCAGGGATGGGGCCGTACTTCTGGACGGACACCGAGACCACGCGCATCAAATGGCAGATGCAGAGCGACCAGCAGGAGCCGCAGACAGGTGCGAGCAGCGACCTTCGGGGGGAGCTCGCGGACGAAATTTACGAACAAGGGGCGAACGCAACGGCGTCAGCATCAAACGCATCCACCGCCACCTGGCGGATGAGGAGACAGCCGGCAAGCAGGCGCCCAGTGCAGTCAGGGAAGGCAACAGGGGCAAAAGACACCCGGGCCGCCTGGCCGAGCAAGGGGCGCTACTACATGTTGCCCCGCGCAACGCCGTGGGCTGCATCGAGCGAAGGCCAAGTGAAGGCAGAACAGTGCATGAGGAAGTGGGTCAATGCGAAAAGGAGTACCACTGCGACAGCGACGTGGAGGTCAGGTCGCGCACTCCGCACCCGCCCCAGAGACAGCGACGAGGCACGAGGTGGACTTGTAGCCGCTGGAGCCAGTCGGGCAACGGGCGCGCGGACAAGAAGGTGAAGCACACGGACAACCCGATGAAGAAGCACAGCAAGGTAAAAGGTAAAGTGCTCGGGCACGTGGGGCGACGGGCGGCGCATTGTCATTGACCCATCACCCGAGAAGGAAGCAAAGGCAACAGTAGTGGGCGACGTGAACATCGGGATGGAGAAGTGCACCACGCTGAAGGAGCTGCTCGGGCTGGCGAAGAAGACGCCCCGCCGCGACGCGAGAGGCGCAGCGATGGCGCCCGCGGCAAGCCCGCCAGCGACGGCATCGCCGCCTGGGGGAGGACCGTGGGAAGGTACTCCGTCGCCACAGTACTGGAAGAAGAACAGGCCTGTCAAGCACCATCCGGCCAAAGCAGCATATGACGACGGGACAGAGCGCGAGCCAGCAGAGAAGGCGTCACGGACATCCTGTTCGCGAACGAGGACAACAACAAACAATCAGTGCAGCAGCACAACGGAGGCCAGCCGCCCAACGTGAGCAGCACGATCATCGAATTGAACATTGACGTGGCAAAGTACACGGTCAACCCGAAGACCCAGTTGAACATAATCAAGGTTAAGCACACGGGCACGGACAACCCGAAACACGATCAGAACAGCGACAAGGTGAAGTACGCGGACACCTCGTGCGATGGTGGGCGGGTCGTAACTAACCCATCGCCCGAGAAGGAAGCAGGGACAACCGTCGTGGGCGTCGCGAACTTCGAGAAGGAGAGGCGCACCACGCTGAAGGAGCTGCCTGCGCTGGCGCAGAAGCCGCCTCGTCGAGGCGCTGGAGGCGCAGCGCTGGCGCCCGCGGGGAGCTCGCCCGCGACCTCGCGGCGGCCGCGGCGGCCTGAGCCGCGGGCCCGCGCGGCGCCGCAGGCGGGCCCGCCGCGGGACAGGGGAGAGGCGGCATCGCTGCCAGGGGAAAGCGCTGTGGGAAAAGGCTCCTCCTTCTATTCCTCCTCCTCCACCTCCTCCCTCTCCTCCTCCTCTCCCTCCTCCCCCTCCTCCTTCTCCTCCTCCTCCACCTCTTCCCTCTCCTCCTCCTCCGCCTCCTCCTCCTCCTCCTCCTCCTCCTCCTCTTCCTCCTCCTCCACCTCCACATCATCAGCATTATCATCATCATCATCATCATCATCATCATCATCATCCTCATCATCATCATCATCACCATCTCCAGCATCATCATCATCATCCTCATCATCACCATCATCATCATCATCTTCATCATCATCATCATCATCGCCGTCGTCGTCGCGACAGCCTCATTTTGAAAAAGAGCCGTTTTCCATCCGTGTAGCTGCTACACGCTTGCATATGTGCTGTAGTGCTGTAGTATCGTCGCTCGCATGGAGTCCCATTTGAAAGAAGACCCGCCCATTCGTGCAGGTGCGCGCGGCGTCAATGCGGGCGTCCTATTTGCAACCATCTGCTGCCCATCCGCCTACAGAGCGTTTTTTGCTGCCGGGCGCTAGCGGGCGTTACTTGGGGGGGAGGAGGGGCAGGGGCCCGGTAACATGACGCTTCGCGCGGGCGCCGCGCCGTCTGAGAATGTTGAGGCATAGCCAAAGCCAGTTCGGAGGTCAGCACGCATCGTGACGTTACCGGGGGGGGGGGGGCGAGGGGGGCGGCCGTGGCCGGTAAACGCCTATACGCAGACGAATATGTGAAACACGCTTTCTTAGCTGCACATTGTGTTCATACCACATGGTCGGTTCGAACGTGCGCCTCCTCGGGGGCGCATCGCGACAGTATGTCCTCCGCCTCTTCTCGCAGCGCGTTTCCCTCCCCCCATCCTGCGGGCGGAGCGTCGTGCCAGCGTGCACAAGCCCTCCCTCCTCCCTCCCTCCCTCCCTGCTCACTCTCCTGCTCCCCTCTCCTCATCCTTCCAGGCCGCTCTCATCCTCCCTCCCTTCTCCTTCGCCTCCTCCTCTTTTCTCTTCGTCCCTCGTCTTCTCGCCTCCTCCTCCCAAGCCGCATGCGCGGGGGCGGTGGGTACCCTTCGGTAGCCCGGTGGTGTGCGCCCCCACCACGCCAGGGTTGGGTTCTCGGGTCCCCCTCATCCCATGGTTTGGGCGGCGAGGGTGGGGGGCTCAGGGTTGTGCCACCTACCTACGGGCATAAGGTGGTCCTGGGCCTCACACGTGTGCTCGCATCCTGTGTCCTGCACGGTGGTCGAGCGGTGTTCCAGTGTCACCGACCTGTTGACGTGCGGGAGGCATGGGGCGGTGCGTTAGCGTCTTTATTGGAGGCCTCAGCCTTCACAGCTGAGCGTTGTCGTTCCCTGTGTTTCTTGCCTCGGGCCTGCGCTCTTTGCCCAGCTTTGCATGCTTCCTGTTTTTTGTTCGTGAGTTGCTGACTCGAGCGCCGTGCGCTTGGCATGTTCGCCCCGTTGAGTTTTTGGGCTGTGCACTTCCCTGCAAGTCCCCCATTTGGCAGGACACTGTGTTCAGCGCTCTCCCATGCCCCTCCTCCTCCTCCTCCTCCTCCTCCTCCTCCTCCTCCTCCATGTCTTCCACGTCCTGACAGAGGACCGTCCGCTGAACAAGCCGCCTCAAAGCTTGCCCAAGCATCGCCCCAGCCCAGCCAGGACCACCCAGGTTTGAACGAATTGAGCAGGAGGGAAAAAACACACAGACACAATTAATGGTCGATTCCTTAGAAAGTATGGGAAAATATGGGAAGTGGGGGGGAAGACGAAAATCTGAAAAATATGCAAAGATATGGGGGATCCTGGGATTTGTGTGTGTATGTATTTGTGTAACCCTGGGCCGCTTCAGTTGAACAGGGCCCGGACGAGCGAAGGGGGAAGGGCAGCCCCCCCAAAACAGCCCAGATCTCGCCTCGCACTTGTGAGGAGCTTCATAACGAGTTGAACGTTACCCATCGGTCGTTGAAAGTCGGTATTCCTCTCGCTTCGCGGGGTGCACGTCCGGAGCACGTACAGTCCAGTCGTTGTCGGGCCTCTGGGAACTTCTTGGGGGCCCCTTGGAGCCTTTTTTGGGGCCTCTTGGGTCCTCGCGAGGGCGTCTGTGAGGCCTCTTGGGGGCCTCTGGGAGGCCTCTTGGGGGCCTCTCGTGTGGGCGTCTTGGAGGCGCTCTTGCGCTGTCTGGTCACGTTCGTTTTTAAAGGCTTCCAACTTTCACAATGAATCTTGGGAACGTTACCCATCGGTCGTTGAAAGTCGGTATTCCTCTCGCTTCGCGGGGTGCACGTCCGGAGTACGTGCAGTCAAGTCGTTTTGGGGTTTCTCGCGAGTTTCGTGGGGGCGTCTTGTGCCTTTTGGAGGCTTCTTGGGGATTTCTTGGAGGCCTCTTGGGGATTTCTTGCGGCCCCTTGGGGCCTCTGGGGGGCCTCTTGGGGGCGTCTTGGGCCGTCTTGGGGCGCTTACGCGCCGTTTCGCCCCTTCGGAGGCTGTCTTCGGGGCCTCTCGCGGTCGCCCTGGGACTCTCTAGGGGTTCTTTTGGGCAGTTTTTGGAGCCTCTTGGACCGTCTTGGGGGCCTATTTGGGCCGTCTTGGGCCCCTCTTGTCGGTATTCTATTGGCTTACGCCACATCCGCCGACCCCTTGAACGAGTCAGCGAGTCCGTTATGCGCCACATCCGTCTCTGATGCCATTGTGGCGGCCACACTGGGTCACTGGACTTCTCCCAGGGTGCGAACGCACGAGTGTTCCAAGCCGCGTCCGGCCGCGGCGACGAGAAGGGCGCCGAGGGCATGACGAGCTCCTCCTTCCGTCTCGGACCTTGAACGCCGCTGAAAATCTGTCCCCAGACTCCAGTTGGTGTCCATTCGGGGCAGCTTCTAATGCCGGATATCCCGGATCGACTCTAGACGGTCCTGGAGCCTCGATCTTCGAGGCGCGAATCTCGACGTGAACCCCGAGCGCAAGGAGCTTATTTTCCTCGTTCTTCTCTCCCTCCGTCGTCTTCCCCGTGTCCTGCTCGCCCCTACTCTCACATGTTCGCCATTCTTGCCACAAGCCTCCTCCTCCCTCCTTTCTCCCTTCTCTTACTGCTTCTCCGCCTTTCCGTCCTCCTCCCCGCTCTCTTCTTCGCCCGTTCCCTCCCCGTCCCGCTTGGGCGGTGCATGGTCCTGCCTCTTCCCTCCAACGCGCGCGCGGGAGGCGCGGGTCGGGGGCCATCTGGGACCGACCGTGGAGCGCAGCATCGGGGCCCATGCAGACACCGGCCCCATGTCAGGGAGCATCGGTAGGTGTAGACGCAAAGGCGGCGCGCAGAGCGGGGGCGACACCGACCGCCGACGGCGGCGCGGGCAGATGTCGGAGCACGGTGGAGTGAAGGCTGAATGCCGCCGTCCCCGCCGCGGTTGGGATTTGAGGGGGTCGCGGCGCGTGGGCGGCAGACGGGCAGGGCGAGCGGCGGCGGGAACGGCCATCGCGCGGGAAAGAAGGTGCTCGCGGCCGCGTGGAACGGGACAGGGCGCAACGACGGGGCAGAGTGCGCCGGCCAATGCGCGAGCGACGGGGCTGGCGCAGCCGCTGCCGCCGTGAGCGACGGAGCGATGGGCGCAGACGGAGAGGCAGGAACAGAGAGGCAAGACCAGAGAGTGGCCAGTGGCACGGCGGCCAAGCGCCCAATGCGCGGATCTGGTGCAGGCTCGACAGACGAAGCGGACGCGCCTGCCCCTGCCGCGGACGCGATGCAGAGGACATTCTATCAGATCCGAGAAAACGGCGAATCGGAGGATCCGCGAAGGGCCCGCGAGCTACTCGTTGCTGACGCGGCCGCGCGCGGGCGTCGGCGCCCGGCTGTTCCGGCAAGCGCGGCAGACCCAGCGCGACCGTGGGGGGAGGCGCTAGCGGAGGGCCCGGCCGTCGATTTGCCCCCGGAGCATTGCGCGCTCGCAAACCGCACCGCAGAATTGCGCGGGCACGCGCGGGGGGACCGCCGAGACGTGTTGCCCATCGCGGAACTCGCGCAACCGTCGGGCGAGGGTGAATTGCTCCGCGTAAAGGCAGCGCACCGCGAGATCGTTGCTTGCGCATGTTGTTCGGGGGGGGGGGGGGGCGCGGGGCGCGCCCGGCGGCGCATTCCTCG